AATAATAATGTTTTGTTGTATACACTAACTGGAATATGAGGTTTTTATATTTTAGCTATCATCAATCCCAACAATGTGTTAAAATTCCGTGAAGCATTCTACAATGATGCCAAAAATGTGTTGGCCCAAAATGCTTGTTCTCGTGTCAGCCCAACAGAAGTTAGCACTTCAAGAATTAGAGTACAGGAAGCCCATCATTATTACACGCACAAGGTTTGACTAATTTCTGATTTTAGATCCAAATAACCTTTAAATATATGTTTTGTTTTGTCTAGATTGAAACTGAAGGCAAACCAGTAACTAACCAAAGGAGTTCAGGTCGTTGTTGGATATTTGCATGTTTAAATGTGATCAGAGTTCCATTCATTAAACAATTCAACTTAGAAGAATTTGAGTTCAGCCAAGCTTATATATTTTTTTGGGACAAGGTATGGTTTGTATAAAAATGTTCAAGAGATATTATTCATTGTGCTTGAAAAATATATACTTGTATTCTTGTATGACCTTGGCCTGTTAGACTATGTTAACAATAGGTGGTCCCTTTTACACACCTGTTCCTCATTTATGATTTGTATTGTACTTCTGTCAATAAGACTGGTTTTTTTTTTTTTAAGGGGGTTTAAAATTCATCCCAAACACAATGGATGTTTAGGTATAGTAACAGAATGTTGTTCAGATTTTTCAAAACTACAATCATTTTTCATGTTTAGTTGTCATTTATTATTTGAGAGTATAAATGTTTATGAGCTCAAAATATTGTACAGCACTAAATCTGTTTTATATTTATTCAGTTTTACCATTATTTAATTTAAAATATTTTATAGGAGTATATAAAATTCTGAATTATTGTGTTATTAGTTATATATTAAACTATACTACAGAGATACAACAAAAAATTTGATGTTATACACATTAATTAAGAAAATACAATATATTTATATATATGGTATTTTCTTGATAAAATAAAATACATTTTTCACTTTGGTTGATTAAACAAAATCAATTTATATTCATAGCTTATCATTTTGACCTTAAGTATTCTAAATAATACGTGAAATGTTTAATACATTATTATAATCTTTACAAAGATTTTATTTTGCGGAAAAACAGCTTTAAAATATCATATATCACTTTCTCAAAATCTGAAATTTTATTAAACTAATATACTTGTTTAATTTTGGTACTTATTTTATTGATAACTTTATTATAATTGTATTAAAGATAACGGGAAGGATTGTTAATTTAATGTATTATTTATAGTACCTTTTTTTATAAGAAGAATATTATTAAAGAAGTCGTGAACTCTGTAGTCGGTAATTAATTCTTATAACATTTATTTAGGAAGAATACAATTATTCTTTTAAAAAGTAATCCTTGCTAAATATATGAAAGTTAGAGTTGGTAATTAATTTGCCAACATAGATAAATAGTCTTATGATAACATTTTTTATTTATCATCAATAGTACTTCTTTACTTGCTCTGTAATGTACCCAAGACAAAAATTCCTCTGAATCTTAGAAATGTAGAGAAATCACAAATCATGTACTTTAAATAAATTTACACTTATTGAAGTTAGTGACAATAATATAAAGAAAATTTCAGTGTATAGTCTTAAATATAGCTATTGGGGTATTATAAGTTTGTGTTGGCATAAAACAACATGTATACAGGTAGAAGCCACAAAATTGTTACTGATGATTTGTTTGTAGGGGTATTTTATGCTCCTTTTTAGAAGTCTAATTGTCTCAAGCGTGTCATAATTTATTGAAAACTATTTTATGATGAAAGATTATTTTAATATGAAATAATTATATTGTAGAACTTTTTACTTATATTTAATAGGTATTCGTTTTATGATGATATTTTTAATGATCTAATATATGTTAATAAATATTGGTATTGTGACGTAAAGCCAAAATACAGAATTTTAAAAGATGAATGTAGTCAAGTGTATTTATAACTACTTTAGTGTATTTATAATTTACTTATTTTTAGAAGAATAATACTGTTGTTATATTCAAGTTAATAATAGTTATAAAATAATTGATGTATTGTATTTTTAGATTGAAAGAAGCAATTATTTTTTAAATGCAATTGTACAAACTGCTAAACGTGGCGAATCTGTTGATGATAGAACCACTGCTTGTTTACTCACTGTAAGTGTAATTAATGAACATGTATTTTATTAATTAAAAAACTCAAAATTATTTTTGTTTAATAAAGAAACCTATTGAAGATGGAGGTCAGTGGGATATGTTGGTCAACATCATAACCAAGTATGGGTTGATGCCAAAGAAGAATTTCCCTGAGTCGTTCAGTTGCGAAACTAGTAATACTATTAATGTTATACTAAACAGCAAGGTAATAAACTATAATTAATAACTTATACATGTTATATAATAAGATTATTATTAAATTTTAAGCTTCGAGAATTTGCCATAGTATTGCATCAACTTGTCAGCGATAATGCTACAGACAATGAGATTAAAACTAAAATTGAAGAACAAATGGAGATTATTTATCGAATTGTTGGTATTTGTTTGGGTATACCACCAACCACATTTGAATGGCAATACTATGATAAATCTAAAGTGTTCAACACTATTGGACCTATTACACCATTGGATTTCTATTTGACACATGTCCGTCCTGTGTTTGATGTTGTAGAAAAGGTATGTACTTAAATTACCTAATGTGTAGTATTTATATTTTCGTATTAAATTGTATTATTATTTAGGTGTGTTTGATTTCGGATCCACGACCAAATAACCAGTATGGTAAATTGTACACTTTAGACATGTTAAATAACATGGCTGGTGGGCGCAAAGTTCTCTATAACAACCAGCCAATTGAAGTATTAATCAAAGCAGCTCAAGAATCTATTGTAAATAGAGGTGAACCAGTATGGTATGGATGTCAAGTGAGCAAAAGATTTTCTGATAAGCTTGGATTAGAAGATTTGAAAATGTAAGTTTTTTGAAATCATCCGTATTAATTTTAAAACATAATTTATGAGTATTTTTGATTTTAGTCATGATTACCAGCTAGTATTTGGAACTGATGTATCGATCCCGATGACTAAAGCACAACGTATGTTATATGGCGAATCTGCCATGACACACGCAATGGTACTTACTGGAGTTAATTTAGATGTAAGTAAATCATATAATATAAACTGAATGAAAATAATTTAATCCTAATGATTTTTTTTACATATGTTTAGAATGGTAATGCAACAAAGTGGCGTGTTGAAAACTCTTGGGGCGAAGACCGTGGTGATAAGGGTTACTTGATGATGACTTCAGATTGGTTTAAGGAATATGTGTTTGAAGTGGTTGTAGACAAGAGTCTTTTATCTGAAGAGGTATTGTCTGTGTTCCAACAAGAACCTCAAGTACTTCCCATTTGGGATCCAATGGGAACATTAGCCTAATTATTACTGAATTATTATTTTTATTTTTATTTTTTTCATACCCATTTTATTATGTATGAATAATATATAATATACAGTTATTTATAATATTATGGAGTTTGAAAATGTCTTATTCTATTCATTTGTATTGTATTGACACTTTCAAACTTAATTTGTATATTATATAATATTGTGTTCTATAACCATATTATATGTGTTATTTGAATTGAATTACATTCGTACATATTTTAAACATTAAACACAAAAACAATAATTTTTTTTTTCGTACTCCTAAATTCCCATTAAAAGTCGAGAAAAATTATATCATTTTTTTTACAGAAATATTCATTGTAAAATCGAGTTATTTTGTACCTAATAAAAATGTTTCTTTTATGTATTCAGAATAAGGGCAAACTGCTGTTAAGCTGACAAAAACTTGTGGGTAGAATCTATTCAATCTCATGAATTCATACAGTAGTGGATTAGGTAAATTACTGTTTTAAACCCAAGCACATAATAATACTCAGTGTATAATATAATACTAAATTGAATATTTTTTTTTTTTTTAATAAAACAATAGTATCCATTGTAAACCAATAATTTATAGGAAAAATGGCATCTCCAGGTGGAAAAAACGAGACACTTGCCCTCCCCTAGAATTTTTAATTGTTACCTTTTTGTAATAATTATGAAACAATAATCAATAAATGAAAAATTTCATTTATTTTAAAACTAATTTTACTTTTGCTTAGATAAGTGGGGACGCCTATTTGTTAAAGTAGCAATCCTGTGGCCATTTAATCGTGCGATTCATTTTGGACCATATTCAAAAGCATTCATTTTTTTTGCTGAATACTTATATGGGTATTTATAAAAAGAGGAATAAAGTTTTAAGAATTGTATTAACAAAATAGCATTTGCCATAAAAATATCTTGGATCCACCACTGGACCCATCCTATTAATGGCCACTATTATTACGAGCAACACGTATACACAGATTATCAATATAACTGTTAGGTTTATATTATCAATTGTTTGTGCTAAATGAAGGTATGCGTTCGTGAAGAAAAACATCATTTTACAATAGATAATATTTATTAAAATCAAAAATACATAAGTTATATACAGATTTCATTTAGATCTAAACATTTTATAAAAAGAAAAAAAACAAAATAATACTGTGCAATATTTTGTACTAATTTTTTTAATAACTAAAACTTTAAAAGTAACTTTAATACACAAAAAAAAAAAGAAAATTTATTATTTTGATAGTATTTAATAATAACATATAAAAATGTAAAAAATGATGAGGCACTTTTTAGGTAACTAATTAACACAAATATTTGTGTACAATATTGATTATACATAATAATAAAGGTCCTATAACAAAATAATAGGCAATTGAGGCTGTGGACATGTTTTCTATTTATTAGACAAACTGAATGATACAATTACGACCAATCATTTTTTTGGCACATCAAGTCTAGAGTTAATAAAAATTCTTAAATACTAACAATAATCGAACGTTCCTAATATTTATGGCGGTGCTAAAATAACAGTCTATTGGCCACGATAATATAACAAAATATATTATCAGCATAATATTGTAAAATCAGTACATTTAATACAACGAAATTCGCGGAAAACAATTACGAAATAAAGTCGAACCCGGTTCATAGCTACATAGATTGCGTGTCGTGTTCCTTGAACCGTATTTCATTGACCATTTTAACCGTGGTATCATTTATTACAGGCGACGAAGTTATGAACTCGACTTTAGTTATGACATATTTTATGGTAATCCTAATTTTGAGTACCATTATACCATAATAAATTTACCGAAGCATAATGACCAGAGAAATGGTAAAACATTAAGTGTCTTATGCTCCGAATTAATACAAGTCTGATACACTTTGTTTTTCATATTACATGTTAAAAATTGGCATAATCATTGCGAGTTGTGTAACGAGTGTTAAAAAAAAATCATGTTACCATTCGTAGTACACGTACGTAAAAATAAAATTGGCACAAATAAATAAATATTATAAGGTAACGATACTAAATTACGAGCGCGAAGGATGTTCAAGTAAAATTCAAAGAAAGGGGGTAAGCACAATTTTAGTTCCTATAGTATTATATTATATTTTGATAATTGGCAAATCGCAACGATAAAATATGGCGTATAATCTAATTCTGGACAAATCCCTCATTTCCGAATTATTACAAACACAAAATCAAAATATTCGCATTTGTCAAAACAAAAGACGTTTTTCTCGAATTCTTAAATGGATATTATGTTAATTTTTTGAAACCGAAAGACTTTTAAGACAATATCTGCAATAATTTTCTCCCCTCCCCCCTCTACGATTCACTAACGATTGGTAATATTTTCAGGGTTTCTTCCTTTTCCCTAAAAACAGTCTTACTCGACACCCTTCTTCCCGCTTATGTATTATATAATATACTATGGAAAAACATGTTTCGTAATTGCGTGACATAAATTTTTGTCTGTTTTTCTACTAGACAAGTACTAAACAATGTTTGTGTTGGTTTTAACGTGGTTGGTTTTTGATTTGGCCGTCTTTACGACGGTGGCGGCGGCGGTTACAACAGACGACGACGGCGACGCAGAAACCGACAAGAAACTCGGCGGCGGTGGCGACGAATACGACGACGCGCCGTTTGTGCACCTCGTGCAATTCGGCTTGTTGGCAGACGCGACGCCGCCACCTTGCGACGACGATTGCGCCTGCTCGGAAGACGACGGAATCGGCGGCGGCGGCGGTTGGTGCGAAGACGACGCAGCGGCCGCGGCGGCGAGTGATGACGACACGGTGCTCACCGTCTGAGTGGCTTTGTTTTCGGTGACCAGAGCGTTGGTCTGTTTGAGCAGCGTCTGGTCGTTGCACAGAGCCGATATGAGCGGCAGGTCCAGGTTGCGACTCTTTTCCCGCAACGATTCGATGTCCAACACCGTCGTGAACGATGCCGCCGCCGGAGTGGTGGCGGCGGCGGCAGTGCTGGTGGAGGTGGAAGCGTCCACGGCCGCTGTGCGACGCGGGTGGACGACGGCCGCGGGTTTCTGGAGTCCGGCTACGGGCGGCGGCGGCGGTGGTGGTCGGCGGCGGAACAGCTGCACTTTGGGGGGCACGGCCGGCGCCGACGACGTGGTGGCCGCCAGCAGATCGTCGTGCGAGTACGTCCGGACGGGCAGTGGCAGTGGTAACGGCTGTAGTCGGTGATGCCGGTGGTGATGGTGTTGCGCCGCGTAGTCGGCGGCCGCGGCCACGGTGGCCGGGAACAAGAGGTTTTGATTGGACGCGTATTTCAAGTGCGGCGGTAACGGAGGCAACGCGGCGGCGGTTGCACTGCTGCTGTTGCTGTTGCTAA